TGGTAAGAAAAGCCATCACGGTGCTGAAATTAAAGGTCACAGGTCAAAGGTCAAGAGGTGTAAAAGAATGGGGAACATTCCCTCCTTAACTTAGGGTATAGGGAGAAAATGCAGAATTGCGGCACAAATCTAAACGGCTCGACCTAGGCTCGTGATAGTCGGTGTATAGCATCATGGTAAGAAAAGCCATCACTGTGCTGAAATTAAAGGTCACAGGTCAAAGGTCAATGGGGCACAGGGCAGATTTTAGACATTTTCTGAGGACACGGTCTGACGGAGCGATTGAAAAACTTTTTTGTTTCAGCGGTGACCTAGCATTTTTATGGTTTTATTGAAAGGACCATGAAGTGTACTTTCTGCTGACATGTGGAGAGTAAGTGTCGGATAACCTTTTGACCCTCAAGAGGAGGGTTAAACATGGATTTGTTTACTGTTAGAAAGAATTTGACTGCCGGGTATGCTAGTAGAATCTATACATGCCTGGATGTATGACTATGAGGCTACAATGTCACAGTGAAATTTCAAAAGCTAAATTTGGTTGAAGAAGGTTTATGCTCCTTAAATCGTATAATTTCTATGGCAGGGTTCTCCCTACGTTGCGCAAATCATACTTGGCGCCAGCGTGCTAACCATTACACTGCTGCGACATATTGAAATAAAAATTTTGGATGTACTATGTATATCGCGAGAAAACAAGCTCAACCAATCAGGCGTCAGTACCGTCAGTACCGTGACTTTAAGAGAAAAAAAATCGGCGACGGTACCGTTGCAGGAGACACAGCCATTACTAATACTATTACTATTACTATTACTATTAAGTATTAGTCTTAGATTAGAGTCAGACTACTGTCAGTGTGACTGTCATGACATGATCACATGATGTCCAAATAATTGTATACAAATTACAATGCATGTAATCAAGATGTAATGCAAGCAATGGTAATTCAGAAGCGCTGAACATAAAAACCAGACTCAGACGCCTTACCACCGAATATAAAACAAATAATTAATATAGGCCTACCCGAGTTGCAAAATTCATATTTGAGCTCCTTGATTTGGACAAAAGTCAAAACCAGCAAAAGTCAAAGCCAGCACAAAAGTCATACCAGTCAAACAGCACTGTTACAGCAGCGACACCTATACACAACTTTTTAACACAAAATTTTGGGGCTTATAACATTTTACGGTGTTCGAATATTTCCTTGCCACCATTGCATTCTAATGAATGGAGCGAGAAAAACTATTTACTTGTGTTTCTGAATTGGTAATGGCTCAGCCGTTGTGACACAACTACTTTTGTCTTGAAATTCAGTATTCAGTAATTCACTAATTCAATAATTCACGCTGAAATTCGCATCTTTTTTTATGGTACTTCACTACTTGAATAATAATTAATATTATGTCGATGTTCGGTACTAGGTAAGCCTGGAAGATTAGTGATTACTGATTAGCCAGCCATATTACAAATAAACAGGATTGTATCGAGCCATGACACCTAAATATGACCTAACAAAGGTCAAGGAGACAGTCCCTATATGTGTTTACATCAGTCACGTGGCGTTTAGGATCAAAACATGTGACGTCATAGCTAGAAGTGCTGTATCTTCCTCTTTCAGTCTTTGAAACTGCGATTCGCAGGCGTTTTTAGCTTTTTATTAATCACCTGTACACGTTATGTCATGACACTGATTATTGGTGCTTAAGACATTGCAACTTCAATTCATAAACACAGAATAGTACGTTTTATGGTACCGTAGAAAAAATATTTTACGCCGGGCATAAACTAAATGGTTGTGTTCGCTTTGCATTGTGGGATTAGTGGTGATGGGCGTGTGTGCTCGGCGTGTCCTGATGAATTAGTTACATCTCGCGGTGTTCGTTAAATTTTAATTTGTGGGAAAAGTCGGAAATTTGTTTGGAAATTAATAAATTATGTATCGTAAGCAAGACGTAGGTGAAAGCTTGCAATTCTAGTATTTTGCAGAAAATTCCACAGTGCAGATGTGATCTTCATAGCGCGAAACAGTGTTTTCATTGGATATTTGCTTTGATTGACACGTGACGTACGCGTTCTCGATTCTTCCCTGGACAAAACTGGACAAAACCAAAACAAACCAGCTGATTCACACGCTTTGGTGTTGGTGCGACTTGTTATAATTTTGTTGTGCAAGAAATTTGTTTGATACATCGGAGATACGGATAAACAAGCGAGAAGACACCCAGACAGAACCAAGTTATAACTGACGTTAGTACGGTGAGCTTATATTTCCTAAATCTATTCAGTAAGTACACGGTTCCAAACTGTGTATAAATTTTAACGCAGTGGCTGGAGGTACGCCAGCCGTATCTTAATGTCTCGAGGCTACGGGTACGCCAGTCCATTCGCTTTCATACTTAACGAGACAAAGATGGCGGCGGTGGCGCTAGATTTCGAAATAACGCCTTGGGAAATAAATTCACGATTTGAGAGTTTAGATGAGCAAGAACCCTAACGACCGACCCTAACCACCCTAACCCTAACCCCAACCCCAACCCCTGACCCTAACGACCGACGGCTGGCGTACCTCCAGCCACTGCGATAAACTTCTATAGTAATATTAGTATTACTATTACTATTACTATTACTATTAGTAATAAATATTTCTCTACTTCGTACTTGGTTATAGCCAGGCTATTCCAGTATTCGCTCCAAAACTTTGGACATGACACTTAAAATTGACACAGGCCTATAGTTTCCGGGTTCTGTTTTGCTCATGTCATCAGGGATTTTTCCTTTGATGAATGACATGTTCATGTTGATTACATGTGTAAGAGCTGAGCAAATAACGTTTGATCCATCTTTTATAAATTTTTTATAAATATCTAACCCAATAGCCTTGCCTGTATTAATGTTTTTCAGCACCCGTAGTACCTCTTCCTCTCCCACCGTTGTAAAAGTAAATGAATTTTCTACTACGCCTTTGTCCCTATAATAATTTTGAAGACTAATCTCATCATACGTCTCTTCCTTTTGTGGTAGATCGTTCACCAAGTCTGATGCCACACTTGTGAAATACTTATTAAAATTATTTGCAACAATTGTTTTGTCAAAACATTAGCTCATCTGACATAGTCAGATGCAGCTTGTAGAATCGCATGAGCGTGCGTCCGTCCGGCCGTTCGTCCGTGCGTCAACAGTTGGGCACAAATATTAACCGCTTGACGTGCGGTCACGATATTCGGGACGTCAGGGGGGATCGTCAAAAC